AATAATAATAATAATAATAATAATAATAATAATAATAATAATAATAATAATAGGAAAACTCACCATATTCTGGGACCTGTCCAGTTCCACGTTTCAACAGCAATCGCACTCTCCTGCCACCAGATTTAATTAGTTCTATTGCTCTGGCATGTGTCATGTCCCTTGTGCTTTCCCCATTAATTTCAATTATTTGATCTCCTACCTGCCAGGTTAAATTAAAAAAAAAAAAAAGAAAGTTAGTCAGCGGAAAAAAGGACATGTCATTTTACATATGCAAAAACAGAAATATAAAAATATAGATATAAATAAATCAGTGGTTTAGTTATCTGGCTGCAGAGCCAGAGGTTAAGTTTGACTCCTCACTGTACCTCCTGCAAGTAGAACCAGCCTGTGTGGCCTTGGGCATGCACAGCAGAGCCCCCAGAAGAAGGGAATGGTATACCACTTCTGAGTATTTTTCTCTCTTGAAAACCCTTAAAAGGGTTGCCACAAGTCAGAAATGACTAGATGGCACGTGAGTATTATAATACAGTGGTGCCTTGACTTATGAACACCCTGACCTATGAACAAATTAACTTACGAACAGCTCCGGACGCAAAATTTTGCTTTGACTTGTGGCCGGAGCTTTGACCTACAAACAAAAAAAGTCAGAGGAAAGGGGCGGGAAATTAAAAAAAAAACTAACCGTTGGTGGCGAAGAGGGGGTTTATTTGTAGTTACTTCACCCCAACAGTTAGGGAAAGGGATGTGGCGGTGGTGGTGGTGAGGTCTGGCCAGGAGGCAAGGACCCATCCCAGCCGGGCTCTGGCTCCTGGCCAGATCCCAGCCCGAGCGGCTGACCATGGCCAGGAGGCTTGAGAGGAGGCTTCATGGGTAGGTAAGCGTGCTCCTTTTTACTGCTTTTGGTGGCTTTTGCAGGGTGGGACTGGGCTGGTGGAGTTATATTTGTGTTTTGTTTGGGGTTTTTGCAGCCCCAGGGGCTTGCAGATTTTTATTTTTATTTTTTTGGGGGGGTATTTTTTCCCCCGGCCCATCCCAGCCAGGCAGCAGTGGTGGAGCCCAGGCCAGGCAGTGGTGGAAGGCCGGGTGAGCTCCCGGACGGCTCCCTGCCGACAGTGGTTTTGATGGCGGTGGGGCCCGCACAACTGCGGGGAAGGCCGGGTGAGCTCCCGGACGGCTCCCCACCGATGGTGGTTTTGGCAGCAGCGGGGCCCGGGCGGCCAACCATGGCTGGGAGGTTTGAGAGGAGGCTTCATGGGGAGGTAAGCGTGCTGCTTTTTACTGTTTTGGGTGGCTTAGGTCTGGCCAGGAGGCAAGGACCCATCCCAGCCGGGCTCTGGCTCCTGGCCAGATCCCAGCCCGAGCGGCTGACCATGGCCAGGAGGCTTGAGAGGAGGCTTCATGGGTAGGTAAGCGTGCTCCTTTTTACTGCTTTTGGTGGCTTTTGCAGGGTGGGACTGGGCTGGTGGAGTTATATTTGTGTTTTGTTTTGGGTTTTTGCAGCCCCAGGGGCTTGCAGATTTTTATTTTTATTTTTTTTGGGGGGTATTTCCCCCCCGGCCCATCCCAGCCAGGCAGCAGTGGTGGAGCCCAGGCCAGGCAGTGGTGGAAGGCCGGGTGAGCTCCCGGACGGCTCCCTGCCGACAGTGGTTTTGATGGCGGTGGGGCCCGCACAACTGCGGGGAAGGCCGGGTGAGCTCCCGGACGGCTCCCCACCGATGGCGGTTTTGGCAGCAGCGGGGCCCGGGCGGCCAACCATGGCTGGGAGGTTTGAGAGGAGGCTTCATGGGGAGGTAAGCGTGCTGCTTTTTACTGTTTTGGGTGGCTTTTGCAGGGTGGGATTGGGTTGGTGGGGTTATGTTTGTGTTTTGTTTTGTTTTTTGCAGCCCCGGGGGCTTGCAGATTTTTATTTTTATTTTGGGGGGATTTTTTTTCTTCAGCTGGAACGGACTAATGGGTTTTCAATGCATTCCTATGGGAAATGGTGCTTTGACTTATGAACATTTTGACATATGAACACCATTCCAATACGGATTAAGTTCGTAACTCAAGGCACCACTGTAGATGGTTGGATAGCTGAGTGAGTTAGTTACCTGACTATGGAGTCAGAGGCTGGAAATCTGCGTCTCCCAGGAGAAAAGCCAGCCTGTACCAGTGCACTTCCAGAAGAAGGGAAGGGTAAACAAATGTTGACTACTCTATACCTAGAAAACAGGAGGTCTGTGGCAACACTGATCCATGTGCTGGTGATCTCAAAGACTATTGCAGCACTCATGAGGTTTCCCTTGAAGCTGATTTGGGAGCTGCAACATATGCAGAATGTGGCAGCCAGTTTAATCATTGTGGTCACTAAGTTTGATCATTATCTCCTCAGAGCTAGCTCAGCTGCATTGGTTTCCTGTGTCCTTCTGAGCCAGATTAAAGGTGTTGGTACTAATGTACTCTTAATGGTTTGGGAACCAGCTATCTGTTGGAGTACCTACCCCAAAGAACAGCAGCCTATGCCACTTGATCCACCCAGGCTGATCTCATATGAGCGGCCCCACCAAGGGAGGCACAGAAGATTTCCATAAAGAACTGAGCCTTCTCAGTAGTGGTCCCATCTCCTTGGAATGGTCTTCTGGTAGAGATCCGGCAGGCTCCCTCCTTCCCAGAAGGATTTTATTTTTTTATGTAAAAATCCAAACTTTTGTCTTTAGAGATATTCCCCCCCCCCTTAATTATGGCCACTATGTCACCTTGATTGCCATTAGTGTGTTCTGTGTTGGTTTTGGTATTGGCTTGATTTAGGGTGGGAGAGAAGTTTGTTTGGGTTTAGAGGTTTGGCTGGAAGGGTTATTTTATATTATTGTTAATCACCCTGAGTAATGCATGTCACTATACGGGTGGTATATAAATTAGTGAAGTAAATAAAAATAAATAAATAAATAAATAAAAACCATACATTTGAATTGACTTGGCCACACATAATTATTATTACAGATATACAGTAGACATAGCACTTCACAGATAATATTACATTTGTTCCCGGCTGCAGTACAGGATTGGTCCAAGGTATTTTGTAGCTAGAGGTAGAACAGCAAATGGTGCCACCTTTCCTAAGCCAAAACTAATCACAATATTTTGACGCTTGGTCTAGAAAATCCTGGAAGGTCCCCACCCCCTCTCTCTAGCAGTAAAAATACAGTAGCAGTTCAAGAACCAAATAAATGTCTGGGTTTTTTGGGATTATTTTTTTTGTGACTTCATAATTTGCTTGAGGGGGCCTAATGGTGCACTTGGGCTTGTTGAGGTACTGAAGAATTAAAGAAAAGAACTTTTTAAAAAGGAGCCATTGTGTTATATAGTTCAGAACAGAGAAAAGAGGAGTTACCTTTGTGGACTACACTTCCAGAATATCTCAGCCAGAGTGGCCAGTGACTATGTATTGGGGATACTCTGGGGGATACAGACTGAGAAGCAACATTTCCCATCTCTCGTTGAGAGTATAACTTGCACAGGCATGCAGGAGAAGAAGTATTCTTATACTGAGCATTCTATAAGTATTCAACAGAACAACAAAATAGATGGCACCACCCCAAACTGAGTGGCACCCTCCAGAGCAAACAAGATGTGCACAAAAATTACAGAAAATAAATCCTGAGAAAATCTCAGCAAAGGAGCAAATTTAAACCCACTTATTTCAACAGGACAGGGTTAATTATACACGTAACTTTCTTCTTCCGAAATATCTGCATAGCCCATTCTTTTTATCCCACCTCTGCCTTGGAAGCCAGAAAATTATGGGTCTCATGACTAGTTTAAATTATGTTTCTCAGTCCCTCAGAGTCTGTATCTCTGACTGCAAACATCCAACTCTGTAATTCTTGATTCTAAGATCTCAGGATGTAGAGCTATCAGTGTAGATGTGATGGCTGAAGGTTAAACCCTCAGACTTAACAATAGAAACTGATGAACTTCAAGTGAAATATAATAAGCTAGGGGAGGCTGAACTCTGTCTAGAAGCAAAAATGGCTAAACCGAGGCTTTCAAACTTTGGGTACAGCATGAGAAGACAAGATTTGCTGGAAAAGACAACAGTGCTAGAAAATGTTGAAGGCAACAGGAAAAGAAGAACAAATACTGTATGTGATGAATGAGCTCAACAAAGGAAGTCAGGTCCTTCAGCTTGCAAGAGCTGGGAAGGACTATCAATGATAGGATATTATGGATGCCACTCAGACATAGGTCACCAAGTTGGAGGTAGCTTGATGGAATATAACAAAAGAGGGGTGTGTGTCTCTGGCTACCACATGCATTTGTGAAATAAAAAGATAAGCCAAGTAGATAAATAAATATGTCTTCAGTCATAACATAAGTAAGCTTAAGTGTAAGAATCCTAAACCACGCCTGTGATCATTTATCTGATTTTTTTTCTCTTTTGAGAAAAAAAAATTATTTGACATTCTTTTGAAAAGGAATCTGTTCTCTATCAAACTGAATGAAAATGATCAAAACTGTCAAGAGAGAACTTTAGTACATAGCATTAGTGTGTTTTGGAAAAGTAGGATGGAGATTGTGAGTTGTCACTTGTCATATCCTGTTAGGAAGAAATAAGTTGTTCAGGTGAACCTCTTTCCCTGTTTGTTTATGTTCTTTAATTCCAGTATAATTTTAGATTATGCACTGGGTTAAGACAAATCACGAAGTCTGAACTGAATCATACAATCATAAAATTGGGTTGAAAGGGGCCTATAATGCTGTAGAGTCCAATCCATTACTCAATGCAAGAATCCAAATCCAAATTTATCTGATAGATGGTTGTCTAATTTTCTCTTGAATGCTTCCAGTGTTAAGAGCATTCACACCATACCCAGACAACTGTATGATGTCTCAACTGAAGAGGAATGAACAGATTCATTTGCAGGGTGAAGCAAACCAAACTTACAAATCATTATGGATTGGGGGAGGGGAATGGAATCAGATGGGGACAAAAAGCTTTTCAGCCTAGGATAGCAAACTTTAAAGTGGCAGTTTATGCAACCCCCCCGAAACTAGTTCTCTGAAATTTGGCAGGTTTACTCCTCGCTGTAGGGCTTATTGTGTTGCCAAATTTCATTTATATCAATGCAAAATGAGAAAAGGTTATAGCCCTTTTATTTTTCCAATGCATTGACTCTGAAACTTTATAGATCAGTTTTGATCTGGGACACAAGTTAAATT